ACATTTATTTTTTATAAAATATGTTTTTATTGATTTACAGATAGTAAGGGGGAGGGAGAGAGATAGAACATCAATAATGAGAGAGAGTCATTGATCAGCTGCCTCCTGCACACCCCACACTAGGGATCGAGCCCGCAACCCGGGCCTGTGCCCTTGGCCGGAATCGAACCTGGGACCCTTCAGTCTTTAGCCTGACTCTCTATCCACTGAGCCAAACTGGCCAGGGCATGTTTGAGTTATTTTTTATTAATTTTTCACTGAAGTGACTAATTTGGTGTGGAAACTGTAATGTGTTACATTATGTAAAATTGATTATTTTTAAATTATACAAAATTATAATTTTTATAATTATACATTATTATAATTTTAATATCATAATATATAATTATTGTAATTATTGTTGTAGATTATGAAAAGATGATCTCAGATAAGAGGTGGGACACCAGGTTTGAAAATGGGACATGTGTAATATTTATCATTGTGCTGAATCAGCTCTCGTCCAAGTTACCGGGGAGTCTTGTTGCTCTGTCAATGGCCTCTTCTCAATTCACATCTTACCTCCACTTAATTTGATATCTGACATTTTTCAAACTCTTCTCTCTTGTTTTAACTGATGCTACTGTCTTCAATTCTCCTTCTACCTATCTGACTATTTCTTCTCATAATTTTGTCTAAGCTCTTACTTTTGCATGCATTTTAGATGCTGAAATTGCTCATGTCCTGTTCTTGGCTCTCCTCACTGACTTTCTCTGAGTAATCTCAGCCCCTGCCCAGTGACCAGTGGACGGCTGGGCATGAAAGACACCCCAGAATAACTGAGTGGGGGAGGAGTGGTTCCTCCAAATAGTCAGCAGTGCCATTACCAGGAAAGCTGGGCAAACAGTGCTGAGCAGACAGAAAAATGCATCATGTGTAAGTCATTTCTGCTTATCATCATCTCCCACAGGAAACTTCCTTCTGACAGTCATGGGGTTTTGAGAGAAGGAATGCTGGTTAAGAGGCAATTAATCTGGACCTTAAAAGATGGCTAAGAGCTGGCTAATGAAGGAGGGAGAAAGATTTTTGATTGAGAGGAAAGACACCAAGTTGGAAGTGTTCATAGATTGTGTGTCCATGTGAGAAGGTAGTGGGATAGTGGAGAAATGAGGGGACTGGCTAAGTACAACATCACACCTCTAGAGAGAAGCGTAGAACAAGGTTGGGTGGATGTGTGGGTGACCTTAGTGAGATGGGCAAGCATATGAATGTGAGCTCATTAGGGGCTGATCAGTAGAGCCACTCCTGTAGTGGAAGAGGCAGTGATGTTGTGCAGATAGGATTGGAGGCACTTAGATTCCAGGCAATGAGATCACTTAAGGAATTTCTTAAAAATTCTAAGGCCTTAGATCAGTGGTCGGCAAACGGAAGCTTGCGAGTCACATGTAGCTCTTTGGCCCCTTAAGTGTGGTTCTTCCACAAAAATACCATGTGCGGGTGTGCATGTACAGTGTGATTGAAACTTCGTTGCCCATGTGCAGAAGTTGGTATTTTGTGGAAGAGTCACGCTCAAGGGGCCAAAGAGCCGCAGTTTGCCGACCACTGCCCTAGATGGTTTGGCTCAGTGGATAATAGAGTGTCAGCCTGAAGGGTCCAGGGTTCAATTCCAGTCCAGGGCACATGTCCAGGTTGTGTGCTCAATCCCCAGTAGGAGGCATGCAAGAGGCAGCCAATCAATGATTCTCTCTCATTGATGTTTCTATCTTTCTCTCCCTCTCCCTTCCTCTCTGAAATCAATAAAAATATCTTTAAAAAAAATTCATGTTATAAGTAGGTGAGCTCCTGAGTGAGGATGATGAAGAGAAAGGATGTAAGAAAGAGTTTTTAAAGAAGCCTAAACAGTATTTGACCATTTTCTGAACATTCTCAGGACCCTAGCAGAATAATTTAACTTTTTGGTCCAGCCTCGCTAAATAGTACATCTCTCATTCAACAAATACCTTGGAGACCTACTATGTGCATGGCATTGAACTAGATACTAAAAAAGATAGAAAGATAAATCAGATATAGTATTGGGACATCAAGAATTTCCCTGTCTGGGAGAGGAGATAACTTGTTTTCATAAATAACAAGACTAGTATCCTAAAAGCAGGGCAGAGGAGGTCCAGTGATTGTTGAAAGGGGCATAATGGATGTGGTCTGATTATTGGGATATCACTCCCAGCTTGTTGGGAGAATGGAGGCTGAGGGGCAAGCAGACTTGCTATCCTCTGAATGAGCTGTGCTTTGTATAATGTTTTGCACTTAAAATATTGTTTGCCCTGCCTGTACCATCATCTTTCCTCTCAAATTCTATTGATCCTCATATTGGCTCAAGTTTTATCTCTATGAAGTGGTTTCTACCAATTTCTTTATGCAAGTCTCACACTCACCTCTGGCCTCATATACAAAGCTAGTAGGCCTGAGCACAAATCCGTGTGCCAGTAGCTCGCTGCTGTCCTCCTGTAGCCCACCCACCCCCGCACCCCCTCCCAGCTTGCTGCCCTGCCCCCTCCTGTAGCTCTCTACCACCTGCTTATAGTTCGCTGCCCCACCCTCCTGCTGATCTGTAATCCAGTCATTACTCGGTCAGTCGTTATGTACCATTTGCATATTACATCTGTATAATATAGGATGGTACATAATATGTACACTTCCCATTTTCTTTGTGTGTGTGGCAGTCTATTCATCTACCTACTTATCTATTTACCTCCTTATCTATCATCCAAAACTAGTTCTTCATGTGCATCCATCTACACATACAGTACATATGCAATTATGAGTAATTTTTATTTTTTTCCTTATATGCTTTTGTACTTTTAAACTTTTTACAGTGAATAGACACAGCTTTCATAATTAGGAAAAAAATAAAATTACAAGTAAGTTAAGGAAAACAGCCTCGTAATAAGATGCTGTACCTGTGTAAACAGTGAGTACTTTAAGAATTAGCAGGGCCTTCTTCAAGCTAAGTGCTAACTGATTCTGTCAACACCTTACTCTTGGTGTACCGGTTTTCTCCACCTCCAAGTGGTTTCTTAGTGTCTGAGTCCTCCCAAAGTGTACACTTGGAAATGCTTGAACGTGGCCTCTTTCCTTTGGGATGGACCCCTGAGGTGCCAGGGTATGTGCAGAGGCCTGAAAGAGACGCCCCTTTTAAAGCTGGGCCAGGCTCGCCTGCGCTCTCTGAGAGCCACTGTCTCCCCATATTCTAGGGCCGAACCCGAGTGCCGGGACCACCGCCTCATTGCCAGCCAGAAGGGGCTGCTGTTGGATCAGCGGGACCCGGACTGGGATGCCAAGAAAAGGGAGATGGAGCTGTCTCTTCCTTCCTCGGATCAAAACATTAATAAGAAAAAGCATAAGAAAAGTCGAGGCCCCCCCAAGCTCAGCAATACCAAGGAGAGGAAAGTGTGAGAAGGCTGGGCCACAGAGGCTAGAACCTATGTTTTCTGGTGGGAGACTTTCCCTCGTATCAGAGTAGAGCTTGTCAGGCGTGTGTTGTCTTTACCTGATTTTACTCATAGGCCATTATCCAGATGGCTTCTATTGGTAGCTCAAGACCTGTCATTCAACCGGAAGTCTTGCCCTAAGGCTGTCCTCGCTATTGTCTCCTCACTAATACCTGCTGTCCACAGAATTACCAGCGGGAGACAAGTGTCAACTGCTTGCATTACCAGTGATTTGGACTCGTCAGCTTCTCCTGACCTCCACATGCAATTACAGAATTCAAGAGTGTCTTCTAAGGGAAACTAGATTGTTCAAATGCAAAAAAAAATTAAAGAATCACCAAAATACTGTTTAGCCAATCTATGAAAAAATTATTTGTTGTCACAGAGGCTAAGCAAAGAGATAAACGAATGTATGTCTCAGTTTCCAGCCATTTTTGTTGCTGTTGTGGGGGAGGGGGCCACCACCTCAGCATGGCCATGTTACTCACGATCCGCTCTACCCAGGAGGAGCAGTCCGGGCAAGAGACCAGCTCAATGGGACCTCACTGGAAACTCTATGGAATCAATGAGAGAGAGTATAAACACAGGAACATGTGATCACAGCTCTATTTATTGAATTATATATTTTAGGAAGTCTGATACAAATCAGGTATTTTCAATGAAAGTATTGTATCCAAAGTGAGATGTGCTGTAAATGTAAAATACCTATCAGATTTTTGAAGACTTAGTGCAAAAATGTAAAATAGCTCATCAATACTATTTAATGTTGATTATATGCTGATGTAATATTTTGGATACTGAGTTAAATAAAAGATACTATTAACATGAATTTACCTCTTTCCTTTCACTTAAAAAAGTGGCTACTAAAATGTTTAAAATTATTTATGTGAATC